TCTCACAAAGATGATGAATTTAATCAGTTGTAATGCAATGATCGATTTTTCTGCTCTATGCAAAATTAAAAATACTCATTCTCCAGGGAGATTTTATAGTATTTTCTTAGTTTAGAGTTGGCTATGTTAATGTCATGAATGAGCTCTCCTTGGGCACTACCTGTAGTAATATTGCAAAATATAAACATAATTAGTTTTCATATTTTAATACTACAATTTGCTTCAGGCTGTTAAACTAATTTAATATACAGTCATAGCATCACTTTTGGAGTGATTATAGAGAAGATCTTTTTGCAGCTTAAGACAACAAAATTTTTAATAATTTTTCCTTACAAATTCTGTGTCAATAACATATTTTCAGTTATTGCTAACAAACGAGTTTTTGTGTGCTGAAATATGCTATATTGCGGTGTATCTTGTAATGAAAAGGATTTTTCTTGAAATATATTTTTTTTTTAAATTTTTTTTTAAATAAGTATTGTTGGTTGTCATGTGTTATGTACTCAGCTGAAGGATAAAGGTCAGTAACCACAGCAAACTGCTTATTAGATGCTTCAAGTTATTAACATTTGTACGGTGCTTTTAGTTCCTCCATAGTGGTGGTTGTTAGGAAGTGTTCCACAGAAGTATTTAAAGGTCTTGTCGGGTTTGGGACTGCATTTTGCTTGGTTAACATTAATTTGAAGTTATGGGCAAATGTGATCTTTAAACACGATGTGCTTGTGCTTCGAAAGAAGCGCTTGTGTTCATCTGATCAGAATTGGGCATGGTTTGTGGCAAGCATTGCTGGTTAGTTCTCTGAACTCCATCCTAATGTGTAGCTCCTTCCCTTTCTTTCCTCTGTTACTATGAATATTTTCTAATAATATTTGTACACGGGTCTGCCAGTGGGAGTTGTAAGTATTTTTGCAATATTATGCTAAAGGATGAATTGATGGAAATGCACCATTTTTACATTTTTAATGAATGGTTACACTGCTAATGTGTCTTGTGCAGCGGAGGACTGAGTTTCCACAGTAGAACAAGAAAAGTAGTTGCAGGATTAGGAGAGGGATCTGTATGAAATTAGGCTGAGTAGACAGGAATTCTTTACTTAGTAAAATTGCCATGCAACTGGACTACCACTTCTGTGAGATTGTGTTGGCATAAGTGTGTGTGTACATATGAATGAGGGACTTAAATTACCTTTCACCTCATCAGTCTAGACCCTGTGAAGCTACAAAACCTTAGGTCACTGTTACTTTCCAAAGGGTTTAAAATGTGTTTATAAGTGCTGCATGAACTTTGCTGTATTTACTTTTGTAGCTGATTGGACACTGATCTATCAGTCTATGAAAAAGAGCTGCAGTCTTCGTGTATGAGGTTTCCCCGTGGCTTCTTGTCCTAAGAAATAAGCAACAAAGTTCTGTTTGCAGATCTGCCTGCATTTGGCACAGCCCCAGTTATTCTTACACCTTCTTACAAATAGTACTGCAACAATGTTTTTTCAGTATCTGTGCATATGCTTGTAGCATATGACTGACTAATGACTATGTTAGTGAATACTGGAATAAGTTAAAGTAGATAGGAAGATGCCTACTGCTAACTTGGCAACCATCTGATGTCATTACGTAAACCTGCTGTAATATTATAAAAGTCTGCATAGGGATAGGTGCCCTGATTCAGAAGTTTGCCAGCCGTTTACTGTCACTGGCGACTACTGGGAAGTAGATAAATTGGCTGCTGGTGTTAGCCTAAGAACAAGCAAGAAGTAAGCAGCCTGGCTACGGCAGCTGCAGCTTCAGTCTCTAATCCCAGTTCCTGCCCTTTCAGTTACTGTTCTTTAGCGGCTGCCTCATTTTATTGTGCTGTTAGTTTTGTAACAGGGCTGGATAGCAGTGTGAATTGCAATGCCACGTTTCTCTGTTGTGATCTGTGCTGTGGTTCACCCTGAGAACAAGTGGCAGTTCTTTCTAGTGAAGTGAAATCTTGTTAGGGGTGCAGGCAGCTGCCAGAATGCCCTCCGGCGCCTGTTCCCTTGGTGGGAGCGTGGACAGCTTGAGCACTGCACGCGACTGCTTCGCTTGGCAGCACTGAACGACACAGAATCGCTTACAGAAATGCTGCTGTGAAGAAGTGTCAGTCTCTGCAAAAAGTTTTTGAAGGTCTTCATGGCAGTTGGGTGCAGCAATGCAGCTGGGTTGCAGGCAGGGCTTCTCCGGCCTTCCCTTCTTCCCCTGCAGCTGCAGCCTGCAATGCACTGCTCTGCTCTCTGGAATTCATCAGCACAGTCCTGTTAGGTATCATGTAGAAATATGGGTTGCCAATAAAAATATCGATATCTAATCTATCTAATTATTAAAATTTTTTTTCATTTCTTTTTTAATAACCATGCTCTTGTAAGACTCCATATTAATATCAGTGCAATTCATCAGTCTTCGGGGCATAATCTTGATTAGTTCTTGGGCCACTGTCTTATACAATTATCAATATAGAAAATAATCTGTTAGACAATTTAAATTTAGTGGAGAGTGTTTAAAATATCTTTCAGCTTTTCAGTGTATAGACTTCATATTTGGACATACTAGCTTTCTTGCAGCAGCTTTAAACATACATTTTGAGACTGAAAGCTTTGACCTTACCCCACTGACTCAGAAATCTTTATGGTGCCTGTGTAGCCAGCCATGTGTAAACCTTTGTTGGAAATAAGATAAAAAGCTACAGGGTCAAAGACAGAATCTTTTTTTCCCCCTTACATAGTTCCCGTACTGTAGCTCAGGGTTAGGGATTACATTAGTACAGTAGGGTGTATGCTTCAGTGACTTGCTTTCTATCACAAATTTTGTTATTCTGATGATGCATCACAAGAGAAGGTTATGTGGCAAAAAAAATTCTTCTCTTATCCCAGGTATTGTTAAGGGAGCACCAAAAAATTCTTTGGGACTGTGAGAAGCTGCCTTTTACCTTCTCAAGAGGAGTAGTTGGTTGAGATGCTCAGCTTCTCCTCATTGCTTGGGGATAGCTTCACCAAAGCATTTTGCTATCCTTTTTACAGCTGTTAAAGGCAACTGCTCATCTCTCTGCACTTCACTCAGGCAGAGCAAAGGACAAGATAATCCCCTTAGCCTGTTAAATGCTCCATCCCATCTGGTAGGTGATAATTGCATTGTAAGGGGATTAGCACAGTGGGATATGCTTATAGTGTAATGAAAGCTTCACTACAAGTGTGAAAGTCAGCTGAACGCATTCGAGCAGTTTGGGATCTTACATTTGCACTTTTTTGTAAATATCATAAAATACAAGTTTCATCTGGAGAAAGTGTGCAGTACCTTTACATGCCTTCACGTGTGTGTAACAGATTATAAATTTGTTTTGAGACATCGGTAGTCTAAATACCTGAAACCCTCTTGCAGGAGTAGTGGAATAGGCTTTTGTTTAGCAGAACGTTTTAGGGCAATTCTGTGATTATAGCTGTATTAAATGCATCCCAAGTATTGACTGTACTTTTACTCAAAACCCCTATGACTTTGAAATCATGTGGTTAAGTTGTTACTGGTATAGGAACACCCATGTTATTAAACACTGCTTAGAAATCTTTGTCAGTAAAGGTGAAATTTGAATAAGCCACACTGTGAGTTATATCAGAGTAATTTTGTGTCAGTAGGGATAAGAGGATTTCAAGCTGAAAGTAACTCTCCTTGCAGCCAACCAGAATAAATGTTTTGAAATTTCAATTTCAAGCATGAGCGTAAGGTAGTGCAAAATGACTCCTTAAAAAAAAAAAATTAAAATTGTCCTCTCTTTTTTTTAAGTTTAGCTAATGCTGTCAGTAGTGAAGTTAGTAAATCTTAGGGCTCAGAGCATTTCATAAGTTAACTGTAACTTAACTTCCTTACCTTTCAAGATGTTAAAGATCCGTTTGAAGCTGTGTTATGTAGGGCGGTAGCTTGGGGTTGATTACAATCCCGTTGGTTGTGCTCTCTCCAGACTCCCCGTATGGTACAAGAAACTGGGCAAGTTGCTCAGTGCTGACCAGTATGTGCTGTTGCGCTGGTTTGAACATTAACCTGTTAGGTTAAAACAGGGCTTGGTTAGCCCACACTGCGCTGTGATAGTGTTTCGTAGCCAGATAGATTAGGAACTTAACAGAGATGTGTGTATTTTTACATAAATAAGAGAGTCAGGTGTATAAATATGCACTGCATGCAGTAGATGCTTTAGTGATGTTGTATGACCTTGCTGTGGGATTAAATTGTCTAATGAATTAAGGTTCTGTGACCAGCTGTGTGGTTGCTGTTTCTTCAGTTTCCAGACCCTGACTTAGCAGCTCTGTCTGTGTTTGTGTGTGCCTCTGGGAGTAGGGGCAAAATAAAATCTAGTGTTTTTTTATGGGCTGTCTGCAGTAACTTTGCTAGTCTGTGATAAGGTGGTTGAGTGTGGTTAAGCTCAACCTTCTCTTACGTAATCATGGCTCTGAGTGCACAGGGTCGAATAGAAAGTTGCTTTTCCAAAGTTGTGGTGATGAGACATGGGAGTGATTTTACAGATAGTTTTTTTTTTTTCCTTTTTTTATTATTGTTATTTCTTATAAGGTGGCTGAGCTCTAAAGAACATTCCTTAATTTTCTTCTTTTAGATGGAAAGTGTTTACTTGAGGAGAGGAAAATTTGAGAAATTTGCTGTTTTGTTGTCTGCCATTCCATAGTTTTAAATAAACCTGCGTGAAGGGTCATGGGACTCAAAAAAACCAACCAACAAATGAACACCCTTCCAAAAAATGAAGCGTGTCCCCTCTCCCCGCCTCAGTCCTTTCTGAAATACCAGTTTCTGTCAGGTGAAAATCCCACTTGGAAGAACCATTACATTGGCAGTATACAGAAAATATTTTTAAAGAGGAATTTTTAAATGTTTAGAAATGGGTGTTTTTAACAATCCTTACATATATACATAAAATATATACTGTTAAAAGTATGTAGCAAACCAAATTGTATATGGTATATAATAGTTTTTCTTCTTATTTAGGTGACAAACAGCATGTTTGGTGCTTCAAGGAAGAAGTTTGTAGAGGGGGTTGATGGTGACTACCATGATGAAAACATGTACTACAGCCAATCATCAATGTTCCCACATCGGTCAGAAAAAGATGTAAGTTGAATAAGCTTATTTTTTCCCCTTTCAATAGTGCGATAGTTTCAAGTATGTGAAATATATGTGAGGAAGGGTTTCGTTTAGTTTTAAGCTGTGAATGATGGTGTTTTCAGTGGCAAGTGCTTTAATTTTAGTGAGTTTATACATGTAAACTTCAGCCATATGCTTGCCAGAGTTTTATTTTTTCATCTTTAAGAATTGTATTTGTAACTTAAATTGGGTTATTGATTATATCTTGTGTTTACATGTTGTGTCTACAGTCTTTTTGTTGTGGTTTTACATTTTATATCTTCAACCATTTTTCATTTCTGAAAACGCCTTGTGCAGCTTGTTTGTCTGCTCAAGTATTCTACTTCCCATTTGTAATGACACAAAGTTACAAAACCAACCATTCTTAAACATTTTTTTCCCTTGATAATGCATTATTGTATGTTAGACCTGTACTGGCATTACTGAAGCTCTGCTTATTATTGAAATAAATAAATTAGCCAGTAAAGTATTTCACTTCTATATGGAGTGGCATGTAGAAATATATGGAAGACTGAGAGCATGACTTGAGGTTCATGTCACCTGAAGGTCAGTAATGCCATCTCGTGACAGGCTTGCCTTTAATATGTGTAAGCAACATATATGCTAGATTTTCTTTGTAATTTAAAAAAAAAAAACCCACAACCCTTCAGACTTTCAGATAGGTGTCACTGCTTCAAGTCTGCCTCCACGGCTGTCCAGAAATATAGTTGTTTAATAGCAGATGTGAACATAGTCTTGATAGACCTTGACCTATGTAAACATAAACATTTCCTATAGACTCTCAGTTAATTGAATTTTAATCCAGATTTTCAAAGATAGAAAGGGAATAGGTTTAGAGTAGAAGGCTTTTTAAAACAAAACAAAATGCTTAAATGCAGCTTTCCAATTCGGTTTCATAAATTATTTTGATGAGAAATTTCAGGTGAGCCAGCAAAGGTTAAAATGTACTACAGTGTAAAGAAAATTAAATAGGCTGCTCTTTTCTGTTTATGTCCATTACATATGTGCGTGTACCACAGATGCACACAGGCACAATGGAATATTTATAATGTTGAACATACTTTTTTCTGTGAGCACTGAGAGCTGCATCTAGCACTCTCAAAAACAGTAGACACAATTTCTCCAAAGTGATTCTTAAATATTAAATTGCTACTTTTTAGATTTGATGCACTGAGGGAGAGTAATCATTATGGTGTAGTAAGAAAGGTAAAGTGAGATGAACGCTATGCTGTACAGTGTACACACAGTGAAAGCTGATGCTTGGCACGTTGTTGACACAGTGGATGAGTGTTTTAGTTGCCTACTCTTTCTGTAGGCAATGTTGCAGAAGTGGATCTTAGAATGGGACTTCACGAGAAGGAAGGTGGGTGTTCCAGACACCAGGAATGACAAATGAGAAATCGTGAAAGCTTGTGGGAGAAGTGGCCAAAATGGGGCATAGAAGCTGCTGTAGTTGGCAGAAGAGCAATACCGTTCCGACAGGAAATGGAAGAGTGATTTTTGCAAAAGCTTTTTAAAGTTTTATTTCCAAATTTTTGTTAAGGGTTTTTCACGAGAAGGAAGGTGGGTGTTCCAGACACCAGGAATGACAAATGAGAAATCGTGAAAGCTTGTGGGAGAAGTGGCCAAAATGGGGCATAGAAGCTGCTGTAGTTGGCAGAAGAGCAATACCGTTCCGACAGGAAATGGAAGAGTGATTTTTGCAAAAGCTTTTTAAAGTTTTATTTCCAAATTCTCGTTAAGGGTTTTTTTTTCTTCCCCCCCCTCTGTAGCTTCACTATTGATCATTACAACTTTCTGAGTTTATGTTTATGAAATCTTAAACCATTATATGCTATTGTAATATTTTTTTAAAGTTGATCAAAATAAATATGTGGTGGTGATATTGACATTGTCTGTACACCTTTGATCACTCATGTATAGCTAAATGTATATTCTGTGTTACATGTTCCTTTTGATATCTCATTTGGCTCACGGTAGATGAGAAACGTTGCAAAGGTGGCTGTATTCTTTTAGTTTCTGACCAATTTTGCAGCTTTGAAACCTTTTCTAATTTAAAATAACCATGTTTTCAAATAGTCTTTCAACTGGAATTCTACTAAAGATGATGTTCTGTATATGAGAACACAATAAATATATTGACTGTGTATTTATTTGGATAACAGTATTGACAGACAAAAATAAATGCGCTCAGAATCTTCTCTGAGTAAGCTAATAAAGACTAATGTTCAAAACCTGGATCCAGTTTTATGAACGCTTGTGGGGAAAACCTTCCAGCATTCTAGACCTTGAAACACTTTGAATCTTTCTGTCTTCACGTTTATATTGAAATGCAGTAGGTAAATGTGGGGAAAAAATAAAGGTAGAGAAAACTTTGGGAAAAGGAGAAAATCACTTTTATATTCAGAAAATCCAACTGGTAATAAAAAGACTGAAACGTAGCATACGCAATCTCTTTTTAAGCCTACTGAAAAATGGCAGTCTTTATGCCTTTTTTTACAGTAGAATTGTCTAAACAAGGTGTGGTTTTACTGCAATTTAAATTATTGCTCTCTTTTTCATTTTCAGTTTCTTATGTGTCTTTACTGAGAGCAGGTAAAATTAACGTATTGCAGGTTTTGGCTACAAGCCTGTAGAAAATAAGTTAAACGTTCATTTTTTTTTTTCTCCAATGTATCACATATACACATGAATCCTAAGTCCTTCATTTATGCTTTATCCTCTAGGGTTCTTCAACTTTTTAAACGTTAATTTTTTTTTTTTTCTCCAATGTATCACACATACACGTGAATCCCGAGTCCTTCATTTATGCTTCATTTATCCTCTAGGGTTCTTCAACTTGAAATAGAGTGGTTCTGAGGGAAGCCCTTTGTGAATGGCCTCAAATTTAAACTGCTCTTTGGGAAGGGCTAAAGCTTGTTTAGCATTTACTGGACATGACGAGGTGTTTTTCTGTTTTTCGCTTTGTTGAAGTCTTACTGATTCTAGCCTTAAAAGTTGCTACTTGCCAAGGAATTGCTACTGCGTATGTGTACTCCAAGCAGAAGAACATACAGAATGGTGGAAGCTTCCTAAAATTTAGAGTAGAGTAAGGACTATTACTGCAAGCATATTATTTTGTGTAAACTTCAGAACCTGTTTTTCACTTTACTTTCACAGTAGGGTTTCTGTCCTTGTGAAGAGGCATTGTCTTCAGGTGGGATATAATGATGACTTGTGCAGAGTTTGACTGGGTTGGGAGCTGTTCAGCTTTCTACCTTGTTTTAACACCGAAGGTGGAGGTTTTAATTTTTTTAAATTATATTAGGAAATAATTCTTCACTCATTAAGTGAAAGAAGAGTTTAGAACCTATCTGAAAAAGATGTGACAAAAATATTTTATGCCTTTTAATAAACAATTTTCATAGCACTTACTGATGTTGCATTCTTGTGACTTGTTGCTTTGGCTAATTTGAATTTTAAAAGAATTTCCTGTACACAAAGGTAAAGTGAACTAAGGCTTCTCAAGTCCTATCTTAAATTTTGAGGACTTTTTACAAGTGGGAAGAAGTAGCAGCAAATAGTTTAGAACATGTTATTTTTATTTCAGAGCCTTAGTGTAGCTAAAAACTAAAAGCCTTCTTTTGACTTACCTGCTTTTTCATTAAGGAATACAGTTCTAGGCAGTCAGGGTTGATATGGTAATTGAAATGGAAAAGTTGCATGTTACTCGTGCACAAGTGCTTCCAAAATCATACGAATGCTGTTTGGGTCTGTTTTACGCACAAAATTATGGTTCCTTAGATGAAATTAGATCTTACTCAAGCCATCTAATGCTTCCTTTTTACTAAATGAGTGGCTTTGCCTTGAGTCATCCCAAACCTTGCTGTGCTAAGTAGGAAAGTGGAACAGGCTATATATCCATGAAAGCTCTGTCTGTGAATTCTGGGCACTTAGAGTCAGTGCGTGATAACCAGGTCAATAATACTTTGGCAAAGAAATTAGATATTTTATAGAACTTGCAGAAATTAGAACAGTTTAAGAAAATAGTTTAAGATTTGACTTGAAACAGATGTGGTCCTGTAACTTAAACTGACAACAAGATGCACAATGTGCCCACAAAATAATTGCAGAGCTTATTTGTGGCAAATTTCGGCAACTTAATTGAGCTGTCTATGCACTCAGCAAAATCATTTTGAGAACAGGGGTACATGTATTTTTATTTGGATAGAGTGACAATGGTAGAAATTGGTGACTCAAAACCTTCATATACTTTTGAATCTACTGTCTTCAAATGAGCAAAAAAAATTATGATGTGCTTTGGGAAAAGACGAGACCTGTTCAGTCTGAACTTCTTTGATTTCTCATGTATAAGAATGTAAGAAGTGCTCTACAAGGTTTGACCGGTCTAGCCCAATCCACTGAAGATACCTATGTGGGAATATAAGATCAGGGCATCTTCTGTTGTTCTGAACTGCAGTTATAAATCTGACAGTAGACAGACATGGCTTTTAATGAGGATCAGCCCAAATTATGAGGAAAGTTAGGATAATTTTTTTTCAATGAATGCTTTTACCATTTCTTGGCCCAGTGCTTTGCTGTTCATTTTCTCTCCCAGCTGCTCAACAGATGAAAAAATGCTCACAGTAACATAGTAATAATTCTCTGGTTTGCACTTCTGATGGGTTAGTTTGCTGAGCTTATTCTCCTCTCTGAAAAATCTTAATGTTTTAACTAATTCTGGACTTTCTCAGTTGAGACCTGATGTTCTTTTGCAACTCAGTTCTTTTCAAAACGTGGGTTCTTGTGAAGTCAAATATATTTTTAACAACTGGGGCAAGTAAGATCTAGCCTGCAGATGAGATTTGGCTCATTACAACTATTAACCTAGCTTCTTGGCACTACCTTTCCTGAAGTAGGAGGTCCTCAGATTTGGATATTGAGCACAGTGAAATGGGTTATTGTTTCTGGGAGCCTGCTTTCCAGAG